AATAATCAAAAGCATCTCCAATTAATTGATTTTATTTAAAAAAAAAAAAATCGTATTTTTTTCAGAAATACTGCACATTTACATTTTCTCCTAAATAAATTCTGGTAAATAACATTTCTGGTAAATACTCCTTTAAAAAGTGTTTTTTGATTATAATTTTATTATTAGTAGACTAGAACACGTGGATATGTTGTCATTCTTACACTATAATACTGAACTTTGATTTCAGTGATTTGGATTATGAGATGGACACTTGCTTCTTGCACTCTATGTTGCACTTTACTTTTGCTTTAAAAAATGGTTTTCATAGAAATTTGGATTTCATTTGGTTTAATAAAATATAGTTTAATAAAATATTCTTAAGTAAAATCGTTGTTGTTTTTTTTGCGGGAAATTAATCGTCTAGATTAATCAATTAATCGATAAAGTAGTCGACAGATTAATCGAAATAAAAATAGTCATTAGTGGCAGCCCTAATATATAATCACAAAATTTTGGCCAAATCTTTAATCGCAATTATATTCTTTCCTTAAATCATGTAGCCCTATATGGGGACTGCAGTTTTTCCCATGTGGAACATGAACGTAATGCATTTTATTGACAGAATAAGGGCATTGTTAGCTGTATTTTACTTATGTTCTACCTTTTTTACAGCTGGCAAACATTTTGCATTTGCAGAGGGCTGATTGTATCAGCAGCAACAAACAGGCTTATTGCATTAATATTGATCATTTTGTGCTCTGGTGCGTCTTGTGTAGCCACAAACGGCAGCAAAACACATAAATGTCTTAGCAAATAATTGATATAAAGAGAAATGGCTTGTAAATGAGATTGAAGATTGCCAATTATGAAACTATTGGTGTACATGTAAAGCAGGGTCATTGTAGTTAATTACAACTAAAACCGTAACATGAAGCATTTTTGTTACTTGACAAAAAAAAAATATAAATGTATTTGATATTTAAGCTAGTTTAACTTAGAATAGTAAGATAACAAACTGAATTAAAATAACTATAATACTATATATTATATAGTATATGTTAACTATATATACTATATGTTATTATAAATGATTTATTATTTAAAACCGATAAAAATGTCAAAACATATTGACTAAAATTGCAACTAAAATTAAAACGAAAGCAGGAAATGTATGAATAAAAACGTCTCAGGTTACTTATGTAACCATGGTTCCCTGAGTAGGGAACGAGACACTGCGTCCTCTAG